GTAAATGACATCAAGAAGGAGCAAAGGGTCTGAGAACTTCCGAAAAGAAAATGAATGAACATAAAAATTTGAGTAAAGGTCTGAGAACTTACGAAGGTAAAGTGTGAAGTACCGGTAATCTTAATAGGTTGCAATCAGTTGACATTAAATATTTCGGTTCGGTTACCTGACTAAGGAATTTTTTCTCAGTTCAAATCACTAATTTGAACAATTTTTTAAGCATGTTTTCATGAGTTTATTAACTAAATTTGGATGAGAGTTGATGTGTTACGCATGTTACACGTTATCACATCTATTACCTCTTTTTACAGTATTATTAAAAATCTAAAAATAATTTAAACAATGATGAACCTGTTATAAAAAGAAGCATTTTGATTTAGAACGAATTTTAAATTCCTTCGTTATGTCTAATGTTGCTAAAAAACATTATCTCAGATATCATACTAATTCTGAAAATATTGTTCTATTGAGAAATGTTATTAATAACTTGGCATCTCCAAAGAGTTGGTCTTTTCATCACGCATTTGATGATTTTATAAGCAAATACAATTCCCGTCTTATTACTATTTGCGACTTTCTTGTTTAGAGAATTCACAATAGTATTTGCTTGCCTTTGGATTCTTATACAAAGGAGACAACTCGATTTCACAATAGTTTACGCGCTTTTCAAAGAACAGATACATGGTCAATAGAAGATATAAATATAAACAAAGAGGTATTAAATATTATTGATTTATTATTTATTTATTTATTCATTAATGATTAAATAGAAGGTATTATGGATTATATGGTTTGAACTACTCTATCGCTTTATGCAAAGTTCCAGATATCAGTTAATTTTGCTGAACGCTTAGACTGTTCATTTACTTTAAATACGACGCTTCATATAGCATCTGTTGATATCTGAGATGTTTGTGATCGCTTGTATTTTGTCATATAATGAGTAATCTCCTTTATGAGATACAAATTAATATAATATTTGTTTTTATAATCTAATAGCCAATACTAAAATTTTTATAAATTTAAAAATCATCAAGCTAGGAAACGTTTGTAAAATAGGCTATTTCTTTCAAATTTTAGAAGATCCTCAAGAATTAGTAAAATGGTGTGAAAGAGAATATAAAAAATTAGAAGGAAAGAAACTTCGTCTAAGTGGTGGAGATTCAATCAAACAAGAAGTTTTTAGTAAATACGTTTATTTGCAGATATTAAATTGCTTTTATTTTTAAAAACTTGGTTGTTTGATCCAGATTCTTAAATTTAAGTTTGTCACTCTATATTTTTCTGATAATAGAGTCAGAAATCATGGTGGATTTTTTCTTATAATCGTAAAAATATAGACATTGTACAAACCTTCGCAAGATTAATTACGTAGGACCAATTAAAATCCATGAACTATGACGATCCTATTTTGTCGTATATAATAGATTATACTCAACCGCTTCGAAAACTTGACCCTCTCATTTACAATGAAGTAATGCGTATTCCCAACCATTATATTAAACCACACTCATCTGACTTTGAACAATTGTTTAAGAAATTTTATAGAAATCAAAAAAGATGGAAATATAACGATTTCGGTCAAGTTGATGATAACGATCGAGACCAACTATTTTATTTTTTTTTATGGGACATGTGCAAGCACCTGTATTAAACCATTTTTTTAATGCAGTCTTTTAAAGTTAAACTTCGTTTTATTGATTTTCCTTTTACAGATTTTCTCTATGGGAGGAGGATTTTGAAAAACAATATTGCCTAGAAGGCACTTGGAGTAGGATGGTTTTAGACCCCTTACTAAAAATCGTTATGCATAAATTTAGTGAAAATAGTATTCAACAGTAGTAAATATTTTTATTACAAAATATGTTAAGAAAAACATTGAGTTTTGTTAATAAATAATTATTATAGGGGTGAAGCAAAATCCTTGGCTTCTAATTTTCGAAAAGAATCTAATGCAGAAAAAAGGAAAAGAAAAGAGAGAAGTAAAATAGACGAAGAAGCAGAAATAGATATTGATAAAGAGTGGA